AATTTTAATTTTTGTAATTGTTATAATAATTGAGATTTGATTTTTTACTATGGCTATCAATTTCTTGACTTTGGGGAGGTCAATTGTAGAGTTAATTTACATTAAATGGAAGGGTTGATGACGGTTATTATTAGCCCATTTAGTCGACTTGGGACTTTACAGAGGGGAGGAATACCGAAGTGAGAAAAAGTGGAGAGAGGGAACAGAGGAGTGACTCACAGAAGTAAAGGAGACAGACAGATAGACACAAAGGTAGAGAAAAGATGAGTAATGTGGCCTTGAAAGGGGTCGAATCAGTCATACAGTGGGATGATGGTAGTTTGAAGTGAGAAGTCAACTGCCGGTTTGATAGACTCTTTAGCGTATGAGTAAAAGTTGCCCAGGGTGCGCCACGTGGAGGTTAGTCTAACGCTCGCATTTCAGTTGTAGAGTAAAACGGTTACAAGCGGCGCCCTAATCTCAATTTTATTTCCATCAACTTCAAAGAGCTTTATATTGAATTTGTTTAAATGCATAGCAGTGTCTAGACCACAATGTGGAGATGGAATTATATATATATTTAAAATCTTCATCAACTGTTTTACATTGTAAAAAACGTCAGTTGGAGTTTGAATTTGAAGGTTGGTGGGCCGAAAGTTCGAAACAGGGGTTAACATTCATGTAAGCTTCTTAATTGCATTCAGTTCAAATTTGCTAGATTTACAGAAAAAATGGCTCACACATAAATGGGCTTTTTGGGCCACTTAGATTTTGAAAAAAAAATTTTTTCAAGGCACTTGTTGAAAGGCGATGGTGAGATAATTTTGTTATTGTTTTTTTCTGCTGTTGAGATAATAGAGTGAGAGCCTAGCTTAAATGATACAATAGATCACTCCAAATTGAACTTAAATTTTTTAACAACTTGTGATCTCACTCCTTGCAAAACGGTCCTCTTGTGTTATTTGAAGTTACCTGAGCATATGATGTCGCACATGTCTATGAAAAACATTTTTTGCTTTAAAGAGTAGCTTTCAAACTGATTTATATATATCATATCATATCATATATACCTTAAATCTTGCCCATCATTAACGACACTTACTTTCCACATGTACATCTGAAGATGATATTTGTAAAACTTTTGTTGGGAGATATGGGCTTGTGCTTCAAGACTTCAAATGAGGTTAAATGGCACTTGCTTTGCCTTCAGATCTGTAAGGAATGCTATAAGCTGTTATTTAAATCGAATGCAAAGTCGTTGGCTGCTTTGATGTCTGCCTGAACACTTGCAATGTTAAGTGCCAATAGTTCAGAGCTCAAAGGTCTTATTATTGAAATGGTCAAAAACTGGTTTGTTCGTCATATGGGCTGGAGATTGCCTTCTCTCAAACGAAGCATCTGGAAATTGTTTAGCAACCTCTGTGCTTAAATTAAATTAATGTCACATGCTGTGATTGTAAAATAAGCTGGGTTTATGTCAACGATACGATTCTAATTACGCAAATTAATGCTGATTCTACACTTTATGGTCGATTATCATTCCAAGTTCCACAGACTTTGACAAGTTTCCAAAAGTTGGTTTAATGCCTCGCACTTAGAGTCCATTATCTAGGACAGCAATTAGTCCACTTTCAACAAACTCTACGACTATGTTTGCACCTCTTAAAGCGTTTTTCAACGGGTTTCATTTCGATTTTCTACAAGATGCTTCCCTCCCTGATTCTGCTGGCCCTCGCCTTGGAAGCCACATGCCAACGCTATCACATAGCCGATGTCGGGCCCTATGATGAACTGAGTGCAGAGGAACTCACAACTGCCTACAGAAATCTCGGCTCTCACCTTGGCCGCGAATTCACTGGTACTCATTACTTCTCCCCACAGCGCTCGAACGCATCCAGTGATTCAGCTAATGTCCTTTCCCGAGTTGTTCATGTTGCTCTTGAAGTTCCTCCTAAGGGAAATCGTGAGAACGCTCACTTTCCGCGTCTCGCCCGGGTTGCTCTTTACACGCCTGGGGAACCTCATGTCATTGAATATAACGTAGGAACGAGCAGTAATAATGGTACTGTAACACAAGTGAGATCAATTCCTTCGATTAGAAGACCAGTAGATGAAATTGAGTACGATAATTTACAAATCTTCCTGCAAAAATCGTGTTCGGGAGGATTCAACGAATTCTTGATAGGGTATTACGGAGCGAGTCTTTTCTGCATGAATACAAACAAGTCCTGCCTGACAGGATGTACGGAAATTACGAATGACACTGAGAGTCCAGCTAGCTACCCTACGTGTCTTTTTGGCATGTTTGCCTCACCTAGAGTGACCTTGAAGAAACCTAACAGACGAATCACACTTTTCAGACTTAATCGCCTCATCCCACCCTATAATCAACATCCTATTGACGTCCAAATCGCGGCAAGTTAATTCTTACACAAGTTAAGTGAATAGACACCAGTTCGAGTGTTAAAACGGATTGATTTACATTTTAGATTGATCATACAGAAACAGACTCAAATGCTTGGCATGTTGATAGTGTGGTTATACAAGGGACTGAATTCGCTAGCGTGGATGAGTTCTTAACTTATATAGCTAGAGACCCAAATTCGATCAGAAGGTTAATAGAGCCTTCAATGCCATTTGCACAATTTCATACAGTTCAAATGGGTCCAGACCTATGTCCTCAGGCAAGTAATCTCCGTGGTGATTACCGGGATGTTTTCAATGGATCCATTGTTAATAAGCAAGTCCGCTATGGCCCATGGAGCTTCCATTTGGGTGTTCGACATGAAACTGGACTGAGGATATATGATGTTAAATTCAAAGGGGAACTAATTATGAATGAGGTTGGAATGGATGAGACAGTAACAATCTACGGAGGAGATACTCCATTCATGCAGTCGATGACCTCCTTGGAATCAATGTACGGTGTAGGGTCAATGACCTCTGAACTCTCGCCAGGAATTGACTGCCCGAAAGACGCCATCTACCTCTCAGTTCCGATAATTCCAAATCTAAAAGGTGGTGCTAAAACAGTCCACAATGGAATATGCATTTTTGAATCGTCCGCAAATATTCATGATGGCACTATTCGTAGGCATTATCAGGAATTCGCGGATGAAAATCAATCACCCAATTATGGCTATGGCACTGGAAAGACGGGGAAGTCGTTATATGTTGTAACAATAGCCAGTATATACAATTATCAATATTCCTTTGTGAATATATTTTCACCGACTGGTAGCTATGCGTGTTACGTTGTACCTTCAGGGTACATTCATGTGGATAACCCCTTCTCCCTTGGACATAATTACGGTTTCGTGAAACAACAATTCGATTTGAGATTCAACATCCATACACACCATTTCCTGTTCTTTGTCGATGCTCTTGGTTCATATAACACGGTAAGTAGTTCGTCTATTCAACTTTGCAGAGAAACTACCTCTTGATTAACCACATTTATTGCACTTGTTCTCCAGGTGGAGCGGGTGAAAGTGTTTGCAGAGAAAGCACGAGATGGATTCGCCACGATGAGTATGCAAATTGAACGTCTACGGAGTGAAAGTGAAGGCCGTATACAAGGAGGCGACCCTCTGACAAAAACCGCGATTTGTATATCCGGCGAGACCGATCCACGCAGGTGTTTCAGTGTGGTGAATGTCGCTGCAATGCCATCACTTGTGACAACAAATGCCTCCAGATCCTTTCCATGGATTCGGTAAGCTCTGGATAAACACAATGACTATGATTTCAATTGTAGAAATCACGTAAAAACAAAATGGATAACTCAGATACGAAGGTGGAATCATTTCAGGGAAATTTAGTTCATTTGAATTTCATCGTCTTAAAGGCACTTTAGGAGTCGGACCTAAATGTCCATGAAAATGTATAAATCAATTAGTGGCTAAACTAACGTTAATCATCCTTGCACTTTGCATTCGAAGCACTATCGAGTACTTCGAGGAGATAGTTAAGTAGGAAATGCAGAAATAATTACGTTTCTTAATTAACAGTTTTTATATATTAGGTATGGAGTAAATACACTAGAGCTCCACTTCGTCCCTAAAGACTTTATTATTATCAAATGGCTGACTTTTTGATGGTTATCATTAGCCCTTTAGTTGACTTCAGTCTTCACAGAGGGGAAGGAACATCAAAGTGTAAAAAATTCAAGAGGGGGGGAGGGAACAGAAGAGTGTATCAAAGACGAAGGTAGATAAGGTGGAAAAAAGGTGGGATGAGTACTGTGACAGTAGTCGAATATGACATACAGTGGGGTCATGGTAGTTTGAAGTCAAATACCGGTTTATAGACTTTTTTGCCGTATGAGTATACGTTGCCCATGGTGCACCACGCGGAGGTAAGTCTATTGCACACCCCATATTTAATAGTTATAATGATTAATTTAGGCTCACAGCTCATTTCTCAAACGACTTGGGTTCAAATCCTACAAGTAGACATCAGGTAGCTTAAGAAACGATATCACTCAATGATACAGTAAATTAAATGCATTATTTGTAGTTATTCCCGTTTCCTTCAAAAACTCCAGCTAAAATTTGATCTGAAACTGAAGTTGCGGGACAATTTGGAGAATAATAAATAGAGGGGGGGGGGGATTTAATCAATTACTGTCAGTTGCCGTTCCACACACACACCAGAAATGCTCTTGTAGATGAAAAATTTAATTCGAAGAAAATTGGTTAAGTCCACATCCATCCTCGGACACTTTAGAATAAGGCCTTCAAGATTTCCGACTCTATATGTCGTCTTGTTGAAGTGAGTTGTGTGTGATTAAATGCTCTTCCACATTTCAAGAAAAAGTCTATGGTTTACGAAGTACAAGACAGAGGAGCTGAGAGCCTCATCAATTTACAATGGTGTCGATCTGACCAACCCGGTTGTCGATTTTGCCACCTTCAGCAACGATGAATCTCTTGAAGGGGTGAGAATCTATTGATTTCATGCTTATTAGTAGAAAAAATGATTTAATTTATTGACCCTTCAATGAATTCATTTAAAACGAAAAACAATAAATTTCAGAACAGCTGTATGGTTTTCTTGGAGGGTCTGTGGAAACAAATTGGAATTCCAAAATGTGTGTTTGGTCGCTTATTAATTATGCCTGTAAAGAAGTATATTTTGCAAAGACCAACTAAAGTGTTGACCAAATTAACTGCAAACTTATTTTCAAAACACTAATTTTTACTAAGTAGAAGTCAATAGATTAAAATTTTTACAACAAAGATGCGATACTTTGATTACTAGTTGTACAAGATCCCGGAATCTTTAGAGAATTGAAAATAGACCGGCTTTATTTCAATCAGGGTTTCTTATAGGCAAGATAAAAGGGGTATTTTTTGACATAAACAAACATAAATAGTTTTACAATTTATTACTGCTCATTTGCAAATTTTTTAAAACTGTTAAAATGCGCTACAATTGTGAGTCATTAATCAGTCGAGTTTTAGCTGCAATACGGAAGTAATTAATTAATTAATTATTGATTAATTAGGCACATTCGTGACAACCCTCAACAGCTTATCTGTGGAAGGAAAAGCATTCTCGGCTAATTTCTATTGGGCTCATGCCCTTTGTTGAAATTACAAATGAATTAGTTTCTGGCTGAAACTTCTCCCACCTCAACATCCGATTTAACTGCCCCAGAGTTGTGATTGAATATTTACTTATTTTATTTCAAATGGCAGGCGTTTTGATAGTCATCAATAGACCTTTAGCTGACTTCGGGCTTCATTGAGGGGAGGAATATCATAGTGGGAAAAGTCGAGAGGGGAATAGAAGAATGAATTACAGATGTAAAAGAGGCAGATGGACAAAAAGGTAGAGAAAAGGGTAAGGTGAGTGCTGTGGAGGTGGTGGAATATGGCATGATAGTTTGAAGTCAGAAGTCAACTGCCAGTTAATAGGCTTTGTGCCGTATGAGTATACGTTGCTCAGGATGCACCACGTGGAGGTAAGTCTACCGCACATCCCGTGATTGAATATAAAGTGAAATTGATTGAAGTTTTCTAGTAATGTGAAGTTTCTTTGAGATAAATTTTGATTTCGATAAGTTGACCGATTAAAAGTTTAGGTGTCTCATTGTCAGTGATGGACAACAAAAGACGCTCTGTTTACTACTAACAATGAGAAGTCTTACAGAAAAATCCACAACTTGAAGATATAAGAAGTTAATTGGAAAGGGAGATTGATTCATATTGAAGAGAATGACATTTTACCAAACAATGTCTTTCCAATCAGTAACGATGTAATAAGTGCTGAAAGATTGTATATAACAAGACTGTTGAGTACTCCAAAATTGAACACCGACAATATAAGCGAGACTAGTCATGACCAAAATCATCCAATTTCTCATAAAATACCCGAAATGCTTTTGTTCGAACAGTCTCTTGGCTACAGATCGAAGAAAACCAGACTCGTCTAAATCTAGATATCACTTCAGATAACCCCCCCCCCCCAATTACAAGGAAAATGTTGAAATCATTGAGTCCTACAAAACTAGAATCCGGCTCTTTTTCTCCAATCAGTGTCTTTGGAGGGTCTTCAAACTTACTGAGAATCTATGCCGTAGCTTTGCCTATTGGAGCATTAGCGTCTCAACTGCAGACTCTCAACTTAGTCTGCTTGATCTCCGCTGAATCGGTCAATTTGAGTCCTTTCAAACGGCACCATTGTATTGCTTCATACCAAGACGACGACGATATTATTATCTATCTTAACGAAGAAATATACCTCCTCTATATTCAAGTTGGTAGTAAACATTTCGCTTCCTATATTAATTCCATGGATGTCGTTTTCGCTTCTGCCAATCAAGCCAAAGAATGATTTCCAACAAATCATTGACAATGAGGTGATCTGTTGGCGGTTACTTGATGTTCATAGATAGTGTCGTCATCCCTTCAGCATTTATGCGTATTGTATTCCAAATACTCGATAGAAGTCATCTGGTGTCATAGGCAAGAATGTTTGCATATTGCCCTGAAATAGAAACAGATATCGAAAAAAAACAATATTCTAAGGATGTTTCAAATACGAATCTGTTCCCCCTGACCTAAAACTGCTACTCCTTGTTCCTGTATGAACTTGGACTTTGTTGGAACACTTAGTTGTGCCTTCACGCTTGTGGCCGAAATTGCCAATTTGGTTAATAGTTTTCGTCGAATGCTTCCAACCCACGGTCTCCCCCCCCCCCGATCTTTAACCGATAACGAAAAAGAATATTCTTCTTCCACTGCGAAGACTTTTGATGTCTTATCTGCTTTCCCCCAATCAATAATATAGTTAATCATAGAAATTTGTTAGGACTCTAAGTTTGGCGCTTCTAAAGGGAAAAACAAAAGAGATTCGCATATCAAGTGTCGAGTGACTGCGATTCTGCCGAAACTTGCTTTCAATGGGCTCAACTCAAAACGCCTGGATGACGTGGGTGATGTTCGACCTGTTGCCATATTGGCAGAAAGTATCACCGGAGATCGATGGGGTGCGGGCCAAATAAATCGGATGTCGATAGCAAAAGTTTGGTGACACACCAGAACCACCTTCCCTAGTTAATAGCCTAATGATCATAAAAAACAAAGCGATGGACCCTCTGGATATCACATTGAATGCGTTGACAACCTCCCAAATTAAATTATTGAAACTCAGAAGTTCAATTTTTCAAGAAACAAACTCTCTTCAAGAAGCATTGCAGAAAACGCCCTGAAAAATTCAAGGTGCTTCCAAAATTCCATAGTTATGATGGTAAAGTATCACCGAGAGACGTTTGGTAAAATGAGACATTCTTGTCTAGAAGAAAATAACGCAAAAAAACGGAGCAGGTCTATTACTTCTATTACTGGCTATTTTTAAATTTAACATAAATGCTGACATGCGCAGAACTGTGAGTCATGGCTTGGCAAAAAAACTTTATCCAATCCGGTTTTAGTATTGATTTATTGAAATAATTATACCATAGCAACATTTTAAGCTCTTTGTTTACTTTTGGGCCTCTATTCCTTTAGGATGTTGTAATGTGGATAAACGTGGGTTTTCTGCACATCCCGGTAAATGAGGACGTTCCACTTACTCCGAGCAAGAACAGTCAACTTGGCTTCTTACTCACACCCTCCAACTTCTTCCCCCACGGCCCTGATAGCCTAGACAAAAATGGCCTCGTTTTCACCGCAAACGTAAATAATTTATTTCAAATGGCAGGCTTTATGCTATTTATCATTAGCC